ATATAAATATATATATAGCAGTTATACAGTATATATACATTTTGTAGCAAGAATTTGCATACAGGAATGTTAGCATTTTATATTTAAATTTTTAAGTGTTACCAAGAATGACCTTAAGTATATTTAAGCTCTGCATATACTGAATTGCACTTAACCAGAACCATGATGTACACAAATACACATTCCTCAGGGTTTTCATATAGACCAGTTTGTCTGCCTAGAGTCGCAAGCATTACCATAATACAGTTTGAAGGATTAGCTGATCCTGATTTGTGTTAATATAATGCATGCTCATGAAGGCAGTGAACAAAGCAAATGTAACACAGCATACGTGAAATGATAATGTGACCTCTACAATAGGCATACTACAGAATGAAGAAAAGCATGGATTGTAGCAGTATTAGAATGACTCTTTATTAACTTATTGCATATAGCCTGTAAGACATGCAATGTTTAACTTATTTTATGTTCTAAGCCATGTTCTTTTTTGCATATTTATTTTATAACTGGCTGATTTCAAATGCATTTTGAAGTGTACTGTATATTTTTTAGTTTATCTTCTTCAAATAAACAGTGTAATTTTAATCTGCCTGCTGTTGTGTCCAAAGTGTTGTGTAATGTAATTCCATGAGCATGATGGTCAACATGCATGTTAAGCACCAAAACACTGTTCTTCTTGGTATATACTGTCTATAACAGGAAGGAAATTGTTTTTGTGCTTAAAGCTGTTGTTGTGGTTTGTTCCTTGTTCATTTATACAAGATTTTGTTAAAGGATATCTAATCTATATTTAAAGGTGAATTATGGGTTGAGTGAAAAACACTCATCCCCATAATTCAAGCCAACCTGTGACACTGAAGCTGTCACAGTTTGGCTGTATTGATCGGGAAGTCTCAGTTGAGATCCGTCCCGGCTGCAGTGGTCTCAGTATACCGCAAGCTATAGCTCACGATATACTGAGCTTTGGGTCATGGGAGGACGCTTGTTTATGTCCTCCCGTGACCCTTAAGAGAACTATGGGGTCTGAATCTGTCCCGACTGCGGTGCAGCTCTGCGTCTCAGCATATAGCGGGCAATAGTTCGCTATATACTGAGTTTTGGGTTACCGAAGGACATTAGTATATGTCCTCCTGTGACCCTGAAGAGAACTATGCCCAAAAAAGGGATAGGTCATAGATCTCCATTAATACACAAAAAACTAAGGGGTCTATTCACAAAGCTGCCGAAGAATCTGGCCGTAGCTTCGGCCGATCCTTCGGCTAGCTTCGGCACCAGGACCCCTTCGGTTCAGGAGAACCGAGGGGGTGCTGTACGGGCTATTCACAATAGCCCGTACAGCTCCCGATCACGGCCGAGCGGCTCAGTCGAGCGCTGAGCCGTGCTGAAAGACGAAGCTGGCCGAGCGGCCGGCCATTGGCCGGCCGACAGCCTGCTTCTGACAGCTGGGCGGAGCCAGCCGTGATCTTACGGCCACTTTCAGAGAGATCAGCGTCCCTGGTTGCTAACCAGGGACACTGATCTCCAAGCATCTGACTCTCCCTGGCGCCCCGGGAGTCTCCTGCTCCCGGCCGCCAAGGAGAAAAACCCCGCTGTGTCTTTTTTCTTTATTCTGACACGGAGCGATGTCAGAATAGAGAAGAAAAAAAAAAGTCCCATTCAAAAGCATTGGGACATTACTATTGGCTATTTCTATTGCAATAGCCAATAGTAAACTAGCATTG